GAGCATCGCCCGCCCCGCGCCCCCCGCGGCGCCGCCGCCCCCGGCCCGTCTCCTCCGTGCGGGAGCGCCATGAGCGCCTTCGCTGCCCATGACGGGGAGATCTGCCGCCGGCGGCCTGCACGCGTGGAAGGGAGCCCTGCGTGCGTGCTTGCCGGGAAGTAGAACCGGCAAGGGGAAAGGTAGTGACTTCGCAATTGCGTTACGTGCAGTATTTTAAGCGGGTTTTGTGGGGACTGTGATATCCTGCCCCTCGGGAGGTCTCGGTAGCCTGCGTAGTCCACCCTTCCCCAGAACGGTGTTGAGAATGGTTTTATCAACAGGTCGGTGCGTTCTGATGTCATCGAGGAGAGAGTTCTTGGTCTAGAACGAGGAAATTTTAAAATATGTTTTTTCCCTTTTCACTCTTTCTGTTGGTTAAACTTTTTCAAATTTGTACAATCTTATGAATAATGTGTGTTGTAGCAACTAATACTTTTGAAGATGACACCTAGTGTACCTTAGTTTGTCACTGTTGCTTAGAGACTTACTCCCAGTGTGTGCAAACAAACGTAATGTAATGACAAATACTGCATATAGGGGTTTTGACCCGTAGTAAAGGTTTTATAACTAAAAAAAGCTTGAAACTTTATTTCCAGTTCCGTAATTGGTTTGTAATTGTATGTTTTTGATAGTTTGCTGGGTTAAATGTATTACACTGATAACATTTTTACTTGTGATTAATTTGTAGTTTTTAAGACAGCTATAAAAAAGGAACTTTCTGCCTTTTCCGTCATGATGTATTATTCATCTCTGTGTTAACACGAGTGACGAAAATGTAGGCTTTGGGCAGGTTTAGGCTTGGTAAATTGCAGTTTATAGCTTTATCCAGTTTCTTCCTTGCCTGCTAGTCTCAGTGGTCTGGTTCACAGGTTCCGGCTCGATTTCATTTCCTGCTTATTTGGATGGTCCTCGGTTGTGGAAGGTGTGTGTGAAGGCCGGTCACGTACAGCCATGGTGCTAAGGCTGCGCTGTACAGTTCTTTCCTCTAGTACTTCCAGCTTAGAAAGCTAAAGTGGGAAGCACATCTGTGTGTAAGGTCTTTTGCAAAGTGTGTAGGTTGCTTAATTTAACTGTTGAATGGGCTCCGAGAGGTGTAATTAAAGAAACCGGAGCTCACCTAGCTCGTCAGACTGCCTAGGGAACCAGTCTAACGCAGTGGTTTTCACCAGTGTTATGTGTTGGTTACTGGGGATCCCTGGATCAGGACGTATAGGTTCAGGTAAGATGACGCGCACACGAACTTTTCTGAAAGGTGTGTGTTTACAGTATTTGAAGGGAAGCACTTTTAGAATTCTACATATAAATATGCATGTGATTTCTAAGCTCTCTGCAAGTGAACAGCGTGGTCAGAATTCGTTCTCCCATCTACGATTGCCCACTGTGTATAATTTGTTCTAGAACGTAGAAGTGTGCCATCGTGAACCTCCCACCTGCGGGTGTTGGGGAAAAATAGCAGCAGTGCTCAGTCGTCAGAGAGGCCTTCCCGTTTGAGTCTCCTCGCAACAAGCTGGTGTGGCATCACTTCCCCAGAACATGTATTTGATTTATCACAGATTATCTTTAATTTTTAATCGAAGCTGGAATGCCTTACAGTAGGAAAATAAGGCCAAAAGATACAAACATTCCTGTCATATCTCTACAGTATCAGTTAAGCCCCAGCATTGGAAACCGCTGTATGGGTGTTTTTCTCCTGAAGATGGGAACTGGATATTTCTAGTCCAGCAAGCCTGAGATGAAGGAAGAGGCTTTGCAGGAGTGAGATGATGCTGTTACTGGGCACGTGAGACTCAATAACATCAGTGACTGAACACTGACTCTTTGACACCTGTGTTTGTCTAGCTCTGGACTGGGGAGAGGTGCTTCTGTAGAATTTGAAACTGCCTCTCTGTGATTCCTTTTTGAATGTCAAGGGATAAGTTATTTTGCATGTTGGAATCTCTTAGTTCCTTTGCTTCGTGCCCTGAACAGTGCATGTCTTGCAGAAGCATGCACAGTATACTGCTTTGGGGTATCCAGTCCAAGTATGAGTAAGTTTGTGGGTGAAATGATGCTAAATATGGGAAGCTCGCCTATTGCCTAATATTCCCATGTCAAATAGCAGGGAGATTAAAGATGAGGTTTGTTGTGAGAGCTTTCTACATACATGATGTACAGAAGCACCTAAGGTGGTTGAGAATCTTCCCGTGTAACGGAAACCAGTTTTGGATAGCATTTTACTTAACTTGCCTTAACCTACAAAGGTAAGGTTTATTTTTTCAAAATTGAGTGTTTAATTTTTCTGATAGTACTAGTAATTCCTTTTGCACAAGAAGGAGGAGAGTTAGGGGGCGCAGGACGAAGTGTAGCATCCATAACGTGTTCAGGAATATGGTACTTTTACTGCATCTGCTGAATGCTCGAGTGAGCTGTTTGGTCAGACAGTTGTTAACTTTTGTCTGGGGACATGTGAAAGAATAGAACGTCAGTGTAAACTCCCCTGAATGTAAAACTTCATCAACAGTGCCTTTTCAAGTTACTGGAAGTGTTTGAGTACGTATATGTCAAAATTATTTCTCAAAATGAATTTTTTGAATTTCTTGTCTGATTTGGGAAATTTAGTGAAATAATGGCTTTGGTCGTCTTTTCTGGTATCTTCACAAAGGGTTTAGTTCAGGACGCTGAAGCAAGGGATGCACTTTACAAGCTACGGGCCTTAGTAACAGAGTGATGAAAATGGAGAGTCACTGTCCTGGCCCGGGAGAAAGACGGTGTAATCTTCTTAGCTATGTTTTTCCTTGCTACTGTTTTTCAATTTTTTTTAAAAAATTATATGGTAAACATGATTACTGAGGTGGTCATATCAGGAAGTTCATTTCTTCATTAAAAGCCGCTAGTTTCTTACCTCGCTATATACACAGCAACTTATCAGCCTTCGAATTGTTCCATTGTGCCCCTAGTTGTTACATGCAAGTGAGCTGCGTGGAGTATTTCGTAAATGCAATATTAAAAAACCCCAAACCAACAGCAAACTTTTTGAGGATTTTGGTTATGTTTTTAGCATGTCTTTACTTATGTCCTTTGCAGCTTTCAATAGGTAAATTCCACTTCAGCATACTTAGCAGAACTTCTTCCCGGGTTAAATTTGCATGTCATACAAGTGTCTGTATTGTATGCGGCACAACTGATGTTCTACACGTAACGTACCCACAGTTTGCGCTACGTGGGGTTTTTTTGCTTTCATTTGTATCTATTTGCTTTTGAAGCTGCTTTGTAAATCAAGAAATACTGTATGCAGAGGAAAATAAAATGTGTTTAGATACTCATTCTCTTTTCTCTCTTGTATTACAGAAATGAGCCGTCAGACTGCTACAGCATTACCTACAGGTACTTCAAAGTGTACGCCATCGCAGAGGGTGCCTGCACTGACTGGCACTACAGCTTCCAATAATGACTTGGCTAGTCTCTTTGAGTGTCCTGTCTGTTTTGACTATGTGCTGCCACCAATTCTTCAGTGTCAGAGTGGCCATCTTGTTTGTAGCAACTGTCGCCCCAAACTTACGTGCTGTCCAACTTGCCGAGGCCCGCTGGGCTCCATCCGTAACCTGGCTATGGAGAAAGTTGCCAATTCTGTACTATTCCCATGTAAATATGCCTCATCTGGATGTGAGATAACTTTGCCACACACCGAAAAAGCAGACCACGAGGAGCTGTGTGAGTTTAGGCCTTACTCCTGTCCATGTCCCGGTGCTTCATGTAAATGGCAAGGTTCTCTGGATGCTGTAATGCCACATCTGATGCATCAACACAAGTCAATTACAACACTTCAGGGAGAAGATATAGTGTTCCTTGCTACAGACATTAATCTTCCTGGTGCTGTTGACTGGGTCATGATGCAGTCTTGTTTTGGCTTTCATTTCATGTTAGTATTGGAGAAACAGGAAAAATATGATGGTCACCAGCAGTTCTTTGCGATTGTACAGCTGATAGGAACACGCAAGCAAGCGGAAAACTTTGCTTATCGACTTGAGTTAAATGGTCATAGGCGGCGATTGACTTGGGAAGCAACTCCTCGGTCTATTCATGAGGGAATTGCAACAGCCATTATGAATAGTGACTGTCTAGTCTTTGACACCAGCATCGCACAGCTCTTTGCAGAAAATGGCAATTTAGGCATCAACGTAACTATATCCATGTGTTGAAATGGCAATCAAACCTCTTCAGGCCAGTGTTTAAATCCGTTGCATTTAATTTAGCAGAAACTAGGGTAACCATCTTTGACTGTCAGACAAATTATTTGGTAGACGGAGGGTAGACGTATATGAAGGTAAATAAAAGGAGAGGCTGTTAAATTACAGGAAGCAGTTGCATGTAGTAACACTAATATATTTAAAATAAGTCAACAGTAAACCACTGAAAATATATATACACCCAAAATGGGCATCTTTTGTATTAAGAATTGATTCTACAGGAAATGTTGTAAAATAATTCTAAAAACTTGTTTGTAGATTGATTGTACTGTTGAAAAGGATACTGTTTCGTGTTTTCGTTTGTGTTTTTTTCCTCCCCCCTTTGACTGACAAGCCATGTTGAGCGGTCTGGTCTCTGGCCGCTGCTTCCCCCCCGCCCCACGCCCCCCCTTTGTAAGTCACTACATAGTATTGCTGCTGTTTGTGTATATTTTTTGTGTATTTGCTAATTTTTATTAACTTCTAGTTTTTCATTAAATAAATATGACTTTCTTTTCTGTAATTCAGGTTTTTCTCTTTTTTTGTATCTTTTTAAAATTAATTACAGGTGTCATCTTTTGATATGCATAATTGCTATGGTAAAACTTATATTTCTGTATGTTTGGTAAATTTTGTCTCTTTCCAGTAGTCAATTCATTGGTGATACTGTTCTTAATTGAGCTATTTTGTGAATGTACTGAACTCGAAAGGAGTAATTCTGTTCAAAGATGTATCAGGAAAGAAAGCTCCTTTAAAAACAGGTCTAGATGTTGTTGTACTTTGAGTTACCTTCTAACAAAAATGAACAATTATTAAGAATTTTCCGAATGAAAAAGAAATAATTCACGTTTCAAATTTAGAGATGCTTAGAAACTTGATTGCATCCTTGTATTTGTTGGTTTTGCAGTACAAAGAAGGTATTGTCTTACACAGTTATTTGTAATTATAAAAACAGACCATTTGTTTAAAAAAAAAAAAAAAAGGCAGTCAGAATGACATGTTTTCAGTCTTTTTATATTTGTCATTAAAAGAATATCTGGCAAATTAAAAAACCCCAACTTTTGTTTTTTGCTTTAGCTCAAAGTTTGACACATTGATACTCTTGCTGTTTCTTGTCTTCACGTCTTTTGGTTGTTAACTAAAGTAACTGTCTTGAACTGATTTTTGTATATCCTTTTAGTGACACGATGCACGTTACGATGCAAATGATCTCTTACAGGTATGACTCACCAGCCGTAAAGGCTTTTGAAGGATATTGGGCTTTATGCAGACTGCCTGTATGTGAAAAATTTAACCATGAAAATGTATGGTACTTGTGTTACAAAACACAGATGGAGACACAGAAAAAAACAGTAAGGTAAAAAGCTGTTTCATCTCAAACTATTTGAAAGAGACCTGTGTCAAACCTAGTGGTAGCAGGCAGCCGTTTGGGGAGGTAGTCTGGCTCGTAGCTGCTTTTGTAACAATAAAATACAGTTTATTTACTGTGCACTGTCTTAACTTCCTTATCGGAGGTTGATGTACTCTTGTTCATATTATTTTGATGCATGATGAGGTAAGTAGCTCTACAGGTAAGGAAGATTGAGTCCATCAGGTTGGATTGTTGGATTAATAAAATACTACAGAAATAGTTGGCTTCATGTAGTGAAAGTATAGAGTTTCACTTTTAAAACTTGGTGTCTCAGCTGTTGGAACTGTGCACAGATTTCATTTAAAAGATGTACCGGTACCTTGTGACAGTAGATAAATGCTTCAAAAAATCCTGCAATCTAGTGTTTTTTCCCTATGAATATACAACGAACTGTTTGCAGTCTTCTAAATTGAGTAATGATTCTCACCCGATTAAGCTTGTCTACCTTTACCTCAGGTTTGTCTTCTGGTCTATTGACAGAAACTTGGCTAAATACCTCAGATATTTTTAGAGGAATCCACTGACTCACCATCTCAGTTGCGATTGGCTGACTTGGACTGATGTTTGCCTGCTGAGGTTATCTGATTTTCAGCTCCAGTTTTGTTAAGGAAACGTAGCCGAGGACCTGTGAGAACCCTCTCCAGGCCCATACCTGTGATTATAGTCGCAGGGCTGCGTAAGCACACGCCTTGCGTAAGGCTGTTCTCTGCTGCTGCTTCTACTTGTGTCCCCAAGAGAACCGTGCGCTTTAAAACCTTGTTGGGCTGATCTGCAGTGATTTTATTTAGGCTAGAATGGGCTGAAGAGCAAGATTATCCTTTTGAAGGGGACTTTAAAAATTGCATTTGCAATGAGCTGTAGAAGCTAACTGGTACGGTCAGACAGTTGTTCATGTTTTACAGATGACAAATGCTGTAGCATAACTAACGTACGCTGACTGACTGTAACGCAAACTAGTATTACTCCCTTTAGCGTTTACAAAAAAAATCTGTGTGAAACATTTGCTGTCCATCATCAGATGGAGTGAGTAAACAAATGATTCTTAGGCCCAGATCCTCAAAAGTGTTAGAAGCTGAATTCAGTGGATCTCCTCTAAAGAGTTTGAGGATCTGGTAAGTCGACTACACTCTGTTATATATGACAAAAGAAAACGTACTAGAAATCTGTACAGTTTACTAACTTATCTAAAATAAATGGTGTATTAAAGCCTGGCATTGTCTTAACATTAGCTATTTATTTTAGAAAGTACTATTTTACTTTGTTGTATT